CCTACCCCACAGCCCCTTTCACTCTGGCTATCACAGTGCTGTTGTCTGTGTCTATATATATTTTTAATTCACTTTGTCAAGTTCTACCTAAGAATCCTGCTGGAATTTTAATTAGTACTCCATTGATCAATTTGAGGAGACCAAACATATTTATAGAGCTAAGTCATTAGACTAAAAAGATGACATAGACTTTTCTTTATTTCAGTCTTGATTTCTGTAAGTGATGTTTTACAGCTTTTTGCGTGAGAGTAGTTGTACATTCTTCATAATCTGTTATTTGGCATTTGAGCATTTAATGTTTGGGGATACTATCAGCAATGTTATCTTTAAAAAAAAATTTAGTTTCTATTTATTACTGACATATAGGAATACAATTAATTTTTATATATTAACTTTATATTTGCAACATTGCTAAATCATTTACAAACTGCAGACATTTATCTATAGATGATTTTGGAATTTTTTTCTGTACACAACTGTGCCACCTATAAAAAAATTATAGTTTTTATTTTTCATTTTCAATTCACATAACTTTCTTTTTCTTGCCCTGTTTTATTGTCTGAGACATCCCACACAATGCTAAATGGAAGTGATAACAATGGTATCCTTGCGTGGTCCCACACTCAAAAGAAAAATGTTCACTATCTTACCATATATCTTACCATTAAATATGATTTTTGCTGAACATTGTTTATAACTGTCTTTTTATCTGATTAAGAATATTCTCTTCACCCTGGCTGGTGTTCTCAGTGGTTAGAGTATCAGCCACAAACTGAAAGGTCTCTGGTTCTATTTCCAGTCAAAGGTACATAACTGGGTTGCAATTTTGAGTCCTGGCCACAGTCGGGGCATGTGCAGGAGGCAATCAATCTGTGTCTTTCTTACATCGATGTTTCTCTCTCTCTCTCTCTCTCTCTCTCTCTCTCTCTCTCTCTCTCTCTCTCTCTCTCTCTCTCTCACCCTCTCTCTCTCTCTCCCTCCCTTCTTCACTCCCATGCTCCACTCTCTTTAAAATCAATGGAAAAGATAACTTCTGGTGAGGATTATCAGCAACACAAAAGAATTTCTCTTCAAACTATGTAAAAATTATATAGTAAATCAAGCACTTATTTAAGACCAATCTATGTACATTTGCTATTTTAAATATTAGCAATAATTAAAATGTATAAAAATGTTGCCCAGGAGAGAGAAATATTATCCATGTGCTTAAATTTAAAATAGGTAATTGAATAAGAGGTTTGGTCTTATATTTACAAGTGTGGGAACATGAAAGACATGAAGGCCTAGTCACATTGACATTTCAAATTAAAAGTCTAAGTTAAGTTGTGAGACAATTGAATACTCCGAAGAGAATGAAGCACTGAAAATTTCTGAATGTAGTTTAAAACCTTTGAAGAGTATAATTCCCCAGAAATTATTAAAATTTGTTTGAATAGAATAAGATTTATAAGCCTGGACTTTCTTTCTTAAGGAGGCATTTGGATTTAACTTGACTGCATTGAATATTAATTTTAAAATTAATACAGATTCAAAAATAAGAACAAAAAATATCCTCTTCTAATCCTGGTCTGCTAAGACATTTTATCAAGAATTAATTGATGTTGAATTTTATCAACACTGCGCCTGTTGATATAATCTTATGGTTTTGAAAAATTTATCTTTTGTATTTATCTACTGAATTACACCGATTTGCAAAGATTAAACCAACTTTGTATTCCTGGAATAGAAGCAATTTAGTCTGGTCCTTTTTGCCAGATTTTATTTGCTAATACTTTAGGATTTTTTTCTGTTTATGTTTCTGAATGAAATTGGTCTGAGTTTTTTTTTTTCTTTCTTTCTTGTAATGGTTTTGTTATCAAGAGTATGCCAGCTTCACAAAATAAGCTAGGGTGTGCTGGTGTCCTAGTGCTACTGTAACAACTACAAACTTGGTGACTTCAAATAATGAAAATGGATTCTCTAACAGTTCTGAAGGCCTGAAGTCCAACAGGAAGCGGTCAGTGGGCCTGGCTCCAGCTGAGGCCTTGGGGGAGAGTCTTTCCTTCCGTCTTCCAGCTTCTGGTGGCTCCGGGGACTCCCCGGCATTTGTTGGCTTGTAGCTGCATCGCTCCAATTTCTGCATCCATCTTCACAGAGCTTTCCTCTCTCTGTCTCTCTGTGGCTTCTCCTTTTCTGTCTCTTGTAAGGATACTTATCACTGGATTTAAGACCTACTCTAATCCCGCATGACCTCATTTAGAAATTATTACCGGAACTATATCTACAGAGATCCTATTCCAAATAAGGTCACATTTGAGATTCTGGGTGAACCTATTTTGGGGAAGCCGGCCACAATTCAACTCATTACAGGATGTATGTCCTTGCTATTCTTTGGAAATGTTTGGGTACAATTTAAATATTTGGCAGGATTCAGGGGTGAAGCCAGGGGTTTCTTTGAGAAGATATTTAAATTATATTTTTATTATTTAATTTGCCTATTAGGTTAATAGTTAAACAAATTTTTTTCTATCTTTTATTGGTTACCCTAGAAATAAGGAAATGAATCCTTGACTGATCAAAGTCTAACTGTATTTCCTTCCTGGGCAATACTTTAACTTCACCTTTATTTTTTTTTAACTCCATCTTTAAGTTCACCTCTTAATTTATGTTCCTTTTTGGTCATTATTTTAATTTCATATATGTTTTAAACATACAAGACTTACCCACATCTTTATAGTTTTTTTTCCACATTTACAATACCTATGTGATATTCTATAAAGATTGTGATAACATGGACAATTATCCACATTTACTAATATTTCCTTTGTTCTTGTTTTTAATGGCTATTTAATACCCTCATAAAGGCTATAATAACATAGAAAACTCTTTGTCCCATGTTTAAAAGAATCCCCTAAGCCTAGATAAAAATCCTGGAGAGAAATCTAACAACCTGCTACCCACATTGTGTTAAAGTGATGAAACTACGTGTGTTTCCACTATACTTTTCTCTTCTTCCTAAACTTTTCAATGAGATGTGAAAAGCTACGTTCTTTGCCTTCTCCCCATGCCTCTAAGTCAGGCCATAGAAGCGTCCCCCAGGCCGTCAGACAGGCAGGGGTTGCTTCTGTTGATCAAGGTCTCTTAAATCGTTTTACATTCTTCCTGTGCATCTCATTATTGCAAGTAATTTTTCCTTAAATTCAAAATTTCTCCAAAATACAGTATCTACAAATTGTATGGGGATGTTGGAAGTCATCTATTTGAACCAGGCAATTACTGTTTGAATTACTTTCTACATTACTTTCAAAGTGTTGGCTATCTGCTTTTTATTAAAATATAGTCTCAGACCAAGCATTAGCAACATCACCTGGGACCTTATTAGAAATGCAGAATCCCAGGCCCCACCCCAGGCCTTCTGAAATAGAACGAGCCTCCTAAGAAAATCCCTACCTACCCGGTTTGGCTCAGTGGATAGAGCATCAGCCGGCGGACTGCAGGGTCCCAGGTTCCATTTTGGTCAAGGGCACATGCCTGGGTTGTGGGCTCGATCCCCAGTTGGGGGGCACGAAGCAGCCAATCAATGATTCTCTCTCATCATTGATATTTCTATCTCCCTCTCCCTCTCCCTTCCTCTCTGAAATCAATAAAAAAAGAAAGAGAATCCCCAGGTAAATCATAGGTACATTGAAGTATGAGAAGCCCTGAGCCACCCAGGCATTTTCAATGCAATTGCTTCCCAATGCAATTCATCCCACATTTGAGCACCTTTTATTTTAGAAAAATCTTTATTACATCGCACAAAAGATTTCCCTAAAATTCCAACCTGGGTTTAAACCGGAAGGACTCTACATGACAAACCCGATTTCTCTTCTACATGGCAGCTCATCAAAACACATGAAGAGAAAGATCATGTTCTACCTGGAACCTTTTCTCCTTCAGTTCCTTACCTCTCCCCTAAGGTGACGAGATTCTAAGTTCTCTCCCATTAGAAACCATGTGCTTCAGTTTCGAGCCTTGCTCTATATCAGGAAAAGTGGAGAGTAGTTGCCCTAACTGGTTTGGCTCAGTGGAGAGAACGTCAGCCTGCGGACTCAAGGGTTCCAGGTTCGATTCCGGTCAAGGGCATGTACCTTGGTTGCTGGCACATCCCCAGTAGGAGGTGTGCAGGAGGCAGCCGATCGATGTTTCTCTCTCATCGATGTTTCTAACTATCCCTCTCCCTTCCTCTCT